AAGACTTTGCTGGGGCAGTGACTATTAGTCAGATGCCAGCAGCCAAAAGTCCTCATAACCAAGAAGGTATAAATCAATGGAATGAGCATTTTTCTCAATCTCTCCTGTCCTGGGGCACCACACAGATCCATCATCTATAGCAGCAATTGCCTCTTTAAAAAGGATAATTTGCCTCCCCCCCATTTCAGTCTGCAAAAAAGACACACCAAAACAAGACACAAGTCCAGATGGCAATGAAAGCAGTATCAAGAATCTACATAGATGATGCTAAATTCCAGAATTAAATCAATTGGAGTGGTGGAGTGAAAAACCCAGCTAATGTAAAACAGATGAGGTTCTCTGCTTTGAGGGGAAGCATTAGCTGTTCCTTTTTATTTTGTCTATTTAGACACCCAGCTGTGCTGCTAACAGGAGGAAAGCAGCAGTAGCTAGTTTCCTTTACCAATTGCCTCGAAGTGCAGAAACTGCTTTTTATTTAATTATATAAAAATAATATTTCTACCATTATGGACTGCATTTAGACAAAGCTTTCCATTTGCTTTTTTTTTTTTTTTTTTTTAAAGTGTTCTTACAAGAGCAGAATGAACAAATGCTGCTTTAATTCAGGGTGTCATTTCCAGACTACCTCTTCTGACCTTCAATCGGTCTTGCAAGAGTTTGGTTGGAAGAAAGCAAAACAAAAAACAAAAAGGAAGAAAGAAAGAAAGAAAGAAACAAACGAACAAAAACCCTCGTTAGCCTCCTGTGCCAGAACGAGCTGTTCTGGAGTTTCACAGAGAAATCAGGAAGGGGCTTTTGTATCCAACTATGTGCTGCTTCTTCCAAGAAGGGCAAAGAGCTGGGCTGGAGTCAGAGGCTTTTTTCCCCCCTCTGTAAAGGACACCCTTTTTTCTCTCTCTCTGTTAGGGCTGGGGCTTAGGGGCAGAGGCTCAGCAGAGAGAGTTGAGGGCAGCTTCCATACCCTGCAGCAAGAGGGGGAGGCTGTGCTGTACCTCCAGGGTAAGAAGGGGGGAGGGGAGAGGAGGGAGCCAGGGCCTGTCAGCAGCTCTGTGCAAGGGGGTGGGACGGGAGAGGGGGTGCCACCCCCCCGTTGACATCCACCCCCCGCTCCCACCCAAATCCCCACACCCACTCTCTGACCCCTCTGAGTCCCCCCACAACCCCTGCGCCCCTTCCCTTGGATCCTATTGCAAGACCCACTCGGGAGAGGAGAGCCCCCAACTCCCCTCACCTTGTCCAGGCAGTTGACCTTCTCGGTGGGGTAGACGATCTTGCCGCAACGCGCGCAGTTGGGGTTCATGGCTGCACTGCAG